GCTTTATAAGGTAATTAAGATATATATATATATATATATATATATATATATATATATATATTATATATATATATATATATATATATATATATATATATATATATATATATATATATATAGGGTTAGGTTCATTTGAGACTACCTATATTTTGTGAGACCGTAAGACGCATTTTTTTATTTATTTTTTATTTTTTTAAAATTTTTTTTAGTTAATTCATGTTCCGAAAATAATATTTAAAAAAAGAATTTTTTGATTTTTCCATTTATTTTGCATTTTAAAATTATTTTTAGGATATGTACAGTGTAATATTCTATTTAGAATATTTCACGTATTTTTCAAAAAAAATAGAATTTTTTTTTATTTATTTTTTATTTTTTTAGTTAATTCAAGTTCCGAAAATAATATTTAAAAAAAGAATTTTTAGATTTTTCCATTTATTTTGCATTTTAAAATTGTTTTTTAGAATATGTCAGTGTAATATTCTATTTAGAATATTTCACGTATTTTTCAAAAAAAAAAAACGGATTTATTTTTATTTATTTTTATATTGTTTTATATTTTTTTTAGTTAATTCAAGTTCCGAAAATAATATTTAAAAAAAGAATTTTTGGATTTTTCCATTTATTTTGCATTTTAAAATTATTTTTAGATTTGGTCTCACGGTCTCACAAAATTAGAATGGTCTCAAATGAACCTGAACATATATATATATATATATATATATATATATATATATATATATATATATATATATATATATATATATATATATATCACAACGATTTAGACATTTAAGTCCGTAGACAATGTATATAAATGTATATAAGTCGATTGACAATGTATATGTGATTTTGTATCCATTCATAATACATAAACTAACAAAGATCTTGATTCCTTATATGTTATAATCCTTTCTACCTTTCATGTAACCACTACATATTCTTTTTGAAAAGTTTTCTTGTAATATTAACTACCAATATATACACATCACTAGTAAAACAACACAACCGTTCATAACCCACCAAATTCCCGTATAAAAACAAACAAATAACCTTTTTTTAAAACATGTATAAAATCAAACCTTAGAAACTGCTATGATTTGATTCTCATCTTGGTGTCTTGTCCGTTCTTTGAACCATGAAGATTTACAAGTATAAAACAAAATTCCATGATCATAAAAACAGTTTCTAGATTTATAAGATTTGTCTCTACTTTTAGAAACAATTTGAAGCCTTCATCCCTGTAAATGTTGTTTAAATAATCACTTCTTTCCAACATTTTGCATCTCAGTCTGACTCCAACCAGATGCTTGTTTCTACGTCTTGGAGTCATGGAGTTCCCAATAATGCATGCTTCAAATTTACATATTCAACCCCTAAAAAAAAATACAAGTGTGTATTAGTTAGAGAAAAAAAAAGTTTTATTCATTCTATATAAAATCAAGAGTTTAGAAAATTTAAGACTTCAATATAAGATTTTTGAATGAGTACTTATTTTGACTTTATGCCCTTTATGAACTAGAAAAAATGTGAAACCGAACATTTCTTTCAAACGTAAGGGCTTTAATGAAGAAAAGGGTAAAACTGGGGAAAAAAGTTGCAAATTTCCAGCTGAGATGCAAAATTCTAAATAGTAGGTCTACAGTTCAAACTCTGATATGATCAAAATATTGTTAGTGTTCTGCGATTGACCTACCATGTGGGCGTTGAAGAGGGTTTATGCGGGCCTTTTAGATGATAAAATTTAACTATTATTAGCGTTTTGTGATTGACCTATCACGTTTACCATTTATTTTGACTTTATAAAAATTAACATTTTTGTTTGTTTTTTGTTGCTCTAGAAAGTATATTGTACTCTTAAGCATGTTTTGATCCGAGAGTTTAGTTAGTTGTTAATATGGAAAAATGTATCTTCTAGACAGCCTGCACAAAGCCCATCATTTGAGGTATAAATCACAGAACATTAATAATATTTTGAATGTGTGAGGTTTTGAACTATAGACTTCTTTGTGAAACTTTATCACTAACTCCTATATGAATTAAAAAAAACAACCATTATCTCTCATATGGATTTAGGTTTTACTTTGTTTTAAATATATTTTGTTAAAAGACGTTTAATGCGTTTGATTATTAGTCAAACAATCTCCTTAATCATGTTTCAATGATGAATGAAGTGCATATTTAATTGAGTTCAATTATATTAATTAATTATATTAATCATGCATATCCATATGTTGAGAATGTACATCTAAACCCTCAAAGTATTTAAGAAATGAATTATTATCAAGTGGCAAGTTTAATGTTTCTATTATATATTTATATTATTGTAAAGTCAACATAATGGACCCTTAAAGATTCATTGAACCAAAAGTGAACAATAGAAACCGAAACTTAAATAAGATTTTGAGCATATCTTGTTGTAGATTGTAGATCATGCTAAGTGTCATTTTGTTTTTGTTTCCTTGACCTCCAATCTACCACGTCCGTTATATTCTTAGATTTCATGCTTTTCACTCATTAAAACATTTTATATAACTTAAATCTTAACTATGAATCTGGATTTATCAATGATATATTGATATGTTATGAACAAGTGAAGAAAAGTATTTAACAAAAAAGTGGCTTAAAAGAAAAAAGATAAAAGTGCATATTCTTTCTTTCAAAAAACCAACTTTATTATTTAAGATAATATTTGGTTAATAAAAATCATGTATTTTCAAAGAATTTTCAACCACAACTACTGTGAGTAGTGACCCTTTATTTTCCTTATGGTTTATAATGTGTTAAAACTAATATAACTTACTTATCTACATGACATCATAATATGTAATCTATAAATTAACATTATGCTTCTTGAAATGGCTCCATATTTGCTTGTTTAGCAAGGTTATATGCATAGAATGTATGCAAATAAAAATTCATTTTAGAAAGTTAGATGCTAGTTTAGGAAATATATGATGTCATGTAGATTAATAATTTTTTTTAACAGTTTTAATACATGTTCAACTGAAAATATAGGATTGCAATGGATTTTTTTTAAAAAGATATATGACTTGTTATTGACTAAAATAAAATAAGGTTAAAATGCAACAAGAAAAAACATATATAATGACTTTTATTATATTACTCTTGTTATTATATGAAATATTAAAAACATGGCACAATATACAATGGCAAAATGCCTACAATTATCAATGGAGGTATGTTGTGACAGATCATACCTATCAAACATACATTAAATAAGGAATCAAATATATAGATTTACGTGAAAACTTTTGTGACCTAAACTCGAGACGTCCCTAAAGTGTGACGTCATTTATATTTATTTTTACTCTTAAAGTAAATTACAAATCTGGTCCCTAGGTTTTACTAAAGTTGTAAATTCAGTCTAAAGCCCCGTTTGATACGCATCTTTCCAGGTCCAAACAGACATTTCTGGCTGAATGGACCGGAAAACTGTTTGATTTGCACAAAAGATGGAGTTTTTCCCGGTAAGATATGTCTTTTCCTGAAAGCCCCAAAATCATATATTTCTGACTGAATGAGTTGGAAAGACCATTATACACCAAACACCACATCTTTATTCTTTTATTGGATTATTAATTTTTTTAAATAACTTTTTTTCAATTTATTTTTTATTGAATTATTACTTTTTTTCATCATCCAACACAATCAATCAGATGTACAATCAAACAACATGGTTTCTTTTCCAGTCAGAAAACTTTCCTAGACAACACTTTACCGAACAACACTTTCCCAGATAGAAACTTTCAAACGGGACCTAAATTTTGAAACTACACCAATATCGTTTTTAAGCGTGCATTTCATTTAAAACATAGACACATAGTCCTTGTTCTTTAAACAAAATCGTCAGTTCACTACAAATTTGAAGTCATTTTTTATGATATTCATAATGAAATACAAACTTAAGGATGACATTAGGATAATTTCAAAATTTAGACTAAACTTGCAATTTTTGGTAAATATGGGGATCAAATTTGTAAATAACCATTGCTTTATTTATGGTGACAAACGTGAAAACATGGAAGTTGAAATTGGTGTCAAACTTTAGAAAATAATTAAAAATGAAGATTGTGCATCTCAATCACATGTACTTTCCATGTTCCACTGCCTAACGAAAATGTGGACCTTCAAGATAAGTAGAGCTTTTTAAATTATAAAATTTGAAATAATGGACCAAAATATTGGGTTTTCAAGGACTTTTGTGGGGGGTTCTAAACCACACCTTTTGACTTTTATTCTATTGATCTCATTGTGGTACATAGAAGTACACACTTGTTATTTATTTCTTATTGTATTATTTAAATTGAAATATTTAAATTGAAATTATTGATCCAAAATAATATAGTTGTCTTTTGAATTCATTAATCATGTAACCCAATTGGTTACTTAAGGCCTAATATACTTGTAAACCCATCTAATATTAGAATGTTTAATTTAATGTTTTAAAAAGTTATTGTTAGTTTCAACTTTTTTGAACTTTCACTTTTAGTTGAAAAAACCAAAATAAATACGACATATTACAAATTTCAATTTGTCATCCTATTTAGTGAATTTTTTTAATTTAATTCTTTAGTTGTAGTTTTTATTGACAATTATTATTATTATTATTATTATTATTATTATTATTATTATTAGTGCCAATCCATCATTGTCTATCAACCCCTCCCTTTTGATATCTAACAAGGACCATTTTTGTAATTTAATATGCAAATAAGCATGAACTTATATTTTTATAAAAAGACGCATCATTTCAATTATTTATTCGAAAAAAAACCGTTTTACCAAATAATAATCAGGGAAAATGAACAAAATGAAAAGGTAAGAAAATCTTGAACTTATACCGAAAAAAAGATCTTAACCGAAAAAACATACCAAAAATGTTGCTTCTATTTTAAATTAACTCTATCATAAATTACAACCCAATATTTCCACATTTGCAAAGACAAATGTCAAAAAAGAATAATCTTTCATTACAACCCATGTACACACATCTATATTTTCCTTTTCCTTTTCCATATGTATTTTGTACAAAGAAGAAGAAAACTAAAGGTTGTTTACATGATTGAACTTCTAAAGAATCCCTAACATCAAAACAAAAAAAGAATGAACAAATTTTAATCAAACAATTCCCTAACTTAAAAATAAAAAATCAATGACTTTTTCTAAAAATCTATGCATCCAATATCTAATGGAGTTGATTGTGTCCTATAAGGTCTCTTATTTCTTCTCAACAAACTCCTATTTTCAAAAGAAAAAGGACTTGTACATAACATTGTGTTAGTATACCTAAGACTACATGGGGCACTTTTTGGTGACAAATTAGCTTCTTCTAATGCATGTGATTGTAACTCCGAGGGGTAATCTCGTAAATAACCTATTCGAGGTCCAGCTCCCGTACTCCATTTACAAGACAATTGTCTTCCTAATTGTAAAGAATTTGAATTAATCCTTTGAATGATTGTTTCCTCTTCATCTTCTTCATCATCCGAAAGTTGATGATCATGTGTTAATGGAGTGTTGATAATTTCTTGCAAATTGAATGAATCTTCTGCTGCTTCATATCCATCCAAGATTGTTTCTTGGTTGTGTAGGGGTATGATAGTTTCATCGATGTTTGGTATCTCGAGGGTAATTTCGTCTTTTTGAATTTGTTTCATAATATGATCATCGTTTTTTGGTTCTTCTTCTTCTCCTTCTTCTTCTGATGAATGTGTTCTTACATGAACACTATTGATGTGATTGATATGAAATTCTTTATCTTTATCTTTATCTTCATCTGAATCCATCTGAGAATATAAAAAGAAAATATAAGAACGAATATCGTATAATATGTTTTAAAAAAAAAGTTTTATGTAGAAAAGTCTCATTATTTCGGGAATTTTTTTGATAAAGTCTTAATTTTTTTTAACAGAAAAGTCCTGATTTTTATTTTAACAGGAAATGACAGATCATCGTGTAAAATTAAATAATCAAGACTTTTCTATTAAAAAAATTACAACTTTATTAAATTTTTTCCAAAAATAACCAGACTTTTCTACATAAAACCTTAAAAAAATGATTTTGAGTTGTGTTTTTTTACCTTAACATTTGTCGTATCTATATTGTTTTCATGGAGAAATGAAACAAAATCTTGAAAATTTTCTTGTGTAGGACGATAATGCCCACTATGAGGCCAAATTGCCTAAAAAAAAACAAAGTAGGTTAGAATTTCGATACAAGAAATAACAATGTACTTTAAACTATATCTTCAATTATAACAATTTCATATTTATATTTTGTACATTTTTTCAAAATACAATGTCATAATAATAAAAAAAAAAAGTTGTTACTAACAAAAATACCTTTAGTGTTCCTTTTTCAGCAACGATTCTCCCAGCTGCTAACGTGGCCCCACCAGCAAGAAAACTTGAATGTTGAAAAGACCCTTTTTTCTTTATTCCAACATATAAAATTTTTGATGTGCTTAAAACAAATATCCACTTGGCACCTTTTGGTTCGCCTGTCATATCAAGAAACTCACCCGTCTGTTTGTATAACAACTTTCCATCTTCCATTTCAACTTCGTACGCCTTTCTCTCAATCTATACATCGACATCATAAATAATAAATTTTTATAAAAATTTTGTATTTTTATAAAAAAAATACATTGACTTAATAAAAAATTATTAAAGTACATACGGGGCCAAGGTATTTGATGCATTGTTGTTGAAGCTTTGATCGAGGACATTTATCAACGAGATTTATTTCTTTTCCTTCTCCTATATCCAACCTTTAAAAAAAAATTATATATTAGATTTAAATCGTTTTAAATATTATAAAATGAATAATATAAATGTGGAAATATTTAATTACCAATAAAAGAAAGGCTCTTTGCTTTGAGAGAGCAACCATTTTCCATAGTAAAAATGAAGATTGTGGCCATAACGATGTCTTGGATCAATCTGTTATAATTATATAAATATTGATTATTAATTAAATAAAAATTATATATTGAGTATCATAAATCATAATTTAAAATATTTGAGATTAATTAATTAATTAATTAATTAATTTACTTACAGCCTCGAGCCAATGTTGCAACGCAAGTTTTTGGGCTTTACTATTCTTTGATAAACCTTTTCCTACCTGAAAAAAAAAATTATAAAACTTGTTTATTTATTATTATTATTTTTTTTTTTTAAAAATGTAATTAATAAAATATTTAATTTAGTTTTTCAATTTATACCTTTGCAGCCCTTGTTCTAGCTCTTGACCAACGTGAATAAACAGTTTCTTGTTTATCAAGATTGAAAAATGAAATAGAACTTCTTTTTAATTCAGCAAAATCTAAAAGCTTCCACCTATAATTATATATAAAACTACGTTAATAAAAATTAAACATGATAAAATAATTGGATTATAAATAAAAAAAAAAAAAAAAAAAAGAAAAAAAAACACATACAAGCTTTGCTCAATTTGAACTGCACAATCTGCGAGCTTTCTTCTCGTTCTAAAGCTTTTATAAACCTTCTGTAACTTTATTGCAGCTTCATGTTCAGGGCTTCCAGGATCAAAAATGGAGGTTTTCGTGAATTCATCAATCACATTGTCGAATCCTGATAATCCGTTACACATTTCCTTCATTTTCGCGTAATCTAATTCTGTTTCTTGAGTCGAAAATTCAGAGATGATAGATCCATCGACATTGTTAACTTCATCTTTCTTCGAACTGATGGAATTTGAAATCGTTTCTAAATCTGTGAACGCAGTATAGGGGCACGAAAATGATAGCCCCATGCAACTCAGAAAAGCGATTTGATTTTGAACAGCTGTGAGATTTGATTTCCCCTGTAAATTAAATGCGACGCATTAATTACCCAATTCGATAATTAACAGAGATCCGATCATACATTTAACATTCCCATCAAATTCGTAAAAATTCGCCATTTACAAAGACAAATCGAAGGTTTAACTATCAATGATTTGAAATGCGCAGACGCAAAAAGAAACGCCATTGACGCATTTCGTCGAGAACCTTATAGGCATATACAAAAAGCAACAAAGATGCTATATTGATATATGATAATACATGATACATGATGTATCCCATATCTTTGACTAACAAAAGAATTCCACAATTGTGGAGATTGAATAGAGATTAAGAGATAAGAGGATGAATGAGTGAGTTACCTTTGAAAAGGATTTTGATTTGATGGGTAGGGTTGAAGATGACAGATTTTGATTGGGTGCTCTGTTTTTGTATCTTTTTGTTGCCCTTTTTGAATCAAAGATTACAGAGGAAGTAGAGTAGTAGAGTCAAGAGAAGTTGGTGTGTGCTTGTTGTACTTTCTTCAATGTCTATAATCGCAAAAGTTGGAGTCTTTATATAAAAGCCATCACATAGTCATGGTGTAAGTGTGTGAGAGAGAAAGATGAGAAGAGAGAGAGAGAGAGAGGGGCACGTGGAATAATAACACTTGTTTTCCAAGTTAAAAATTACAATGAGACTCTTTATATAACAAGTGGCCTTTTGCCTAAACATATAAAGCCAAGTTAATGAAGACTTTATAGTTTATAGTTTATAGTTTATAGACTTTAGAGTTGTTATTAAAAGTTTCCAATAATACTAACTATTTAAAAAGAAGAAGAAGAAGATATATTGCATGTTTGAAAATGGTATCTAATAAAATATGTAGTTTTCGATCTTTTAGGAAAGGAAATGAGATTTATGGGTTTATAGTATGCATGCTTACAATTGTCATATCGTGTAAAGATAGCTATTTTGGAATAACAATTATGATTTTTCAATAATACTAACTAAATCTTTTAAATTAAGCATCACATGTTTAATAAAGTATGTGATAATATATATTTTAGGATTTTTTTAGAAAAAGAAATGAGATTTATGGTTTCATGCCATGCATACTCACAATTGTGAATTGTCATATCATAGAAAGATACTGTTAGCTTCAATATCAATAAAAATTTGAATCCACAAGCTAATAAAAACATTATTTTTGAATTAAAGGTCAAAATGTGGAAGTACTTTGCCTCAGTTTATTCATTAACTTTTATTATAAAACTAATTTATATTGAGAATATAAGTATTATTTTTTTTTTAATTACACTACTACCTATTTTTTGAATTTATTTATAATGCCAAGTGAGCATTGGTTGAAAGAGGTGCGGGATCTTAAGACTAGGTCACCAAACAACCAAGCACCTATAAAGAGAAATCAGTATTTATTTATTTATTTAATGGATTTTATTAAATCTAAAATAAAATAAAATAAATAAAAAATCAGGCATTACATTGCATGGTCATGTACAACTGTCATGATATTAGTATTTAATACAATGGTTGATCTAAAAGTTTATTTTGTTTTTTAAAAAGTCTTAATACTCAAAATTTACTTATGTTATAAATAAGGAGATAACATTTTGTTTGATGAAATTGAAAAAAAAAATGGTTATTCTAGATGTTTTTTCAAAAAATAATTTGCATTCAATAATTTTCATAACTCTCCATTATTTATTTTCTTTCTTTAAATATATCTAAAATTTTTAATTAAATTGAATGAATGAAATGAATCAAATAATATATATATATATATATATATATATATATATATATATATATATATATATATATATATATATATATATATATATATATATATATAAGTAAATCATATTTGTTCGATATGTTACTTTGAACACTATTTTATGTATTTTTTTTATAATTATTATTAATGTTTTTTTTCCAATCATAAAAAATTGAAATTAATAAAAGTTTAGTAAAATGTAGATAAAAATATAATATGAAATTATGTGTAAATCAGAAAATTTATAATTTCACTAATATCATGAAATTAAAAATAATTTGTATCATTTAAATTATAATGATAGAAAATGTTACGTTAGAACAATTGACTGGTCTTGAAGAATTAAATATCTTAAAAAAACCAAGATGAATTATATAAGTAAAATCCTTATCGTTATTAAAAATCTTTTATTTTTAAACAAAAATATATAAAATATATAATAATAAAATTAAACAACTGTTCATTTTTCCATTACAACTTTCATCCGATTTTATCCTAATCAATGGAAGTAAAAAAACCTACTCTTAAAAATAAGCGAAATAAAAGAAATCACTGTTCATATGAAAACGCTTCAATGATTCCATCATGACAAAAATAATTATTTCAATTAAAGTAACCATTCAACTTTTTCCTTGGGAGATCATAACAAACATGCCTAGTGGAATAAACAAGCTAATGGCATTAGTTTATATAAATAACATTTTATATTATAATTAAATATTATATATAAATAAAATGCACATATGATTGAGGTAATTAAGATCTTTGAGGAACTAAAAAAATTCTAAGAATCCTATAACTTTTTTATTATTATAATATTTTTCATTCAAAACACTACCTAAATCTTATGTGTATATCATCTTTCAATCGTAAAAGAACCGGTTTGAAAAAACACAACAAGCACGTACTTTTCGGATCTATGCACATATGCATATTACCAAAATAAAACAATGAAATTTGTTCGACAATTGGCTTAAAAAAGATGTGTATATATATGATTTTGATTCGTTAGTTAAGGGCGTTGGATAACAATGTGATGAGTGATCGATTCACTCATGTTTCAATGGGTTTCATGGGAAATGTCCTTGTTTTCAAGAAGTTAAGATGCTCCTCTATGAATACAACAAATTAGACTCAACAAATCTCTTACAATGGTTCAAACATCAAGCCAATAATAGTTGTTTTAATTGAAATATGTGTTGTTGCCCCCTTTCTTATGCTTATACCACTATTTTGTAACTTTAACTATCACCTTGCTAACTGCTTTTAATTATGAGAAATTAAATATCCTTATATTTTTTGTTCATACTAATCCTCTTATCCATTTAAATGATGACATGTATCATATTGATATATTAAAATATCATTAAATGAGGATTAAATATTATACATATCACTATTTAATTTGGTATGACGATTTGTAGTAACAAAAAGTAGAAGGATATTAAATTTCTCTTTAATTATATCCGCCCTTCTAATAAAAATTAACAGTATATCACATTTCAAAATTCACAAAATTATCTAAGTTTGTAGTTCCAATCCTAGAAAAAGAAAAAGTATATTTTATAAACTAACTTAATATTAAAAAAAAAAACACTTTTAAAGTTTTGTTAGATAGACATTTAATGAAATAGGAAAATAGCAAAATGTTAGAAATGTAGATCCGGCAACGAGAGCATTCTGTCCCATGCATGGTATTATTCTATATATTAGATTTGTACTGGTAGGAGTTGTACATATTAAAGTTAGCGTACATTATACCGTACAAGATTGGTCTTAATTATGGCCACGTTGCCCATCCAGCATTCCAGCTCCTCTAAATTAAATTCAAATACTTAAATTGAATTTCTCTCCCTCTTTTTGAAATTATATACAGATCTCAATATTCATCTAAATTACACATAATCATCCCTATAATATATATATATATATATATATATATATATATATATATATATATATATATATATATATATATATATATATATATATATATATATATATATATATATATATAAGGGTTCAATTAAGAAAAAAAGGTTGAAAATGAAATAATTCTCATCCAATTATTTAATCTAAGCATAAAAAGATACATTAACAAACTTGTAAATATAATAATAACTTTTAATCTCAATTACGTAACTATAGAGAATTAGATAAACAATTCAAATTCATTCATAATTGATCGTTCTTCATCCAAAATTTCTCCTCCAACCTTCAACAATCATCCAAATTTATTCAATTAAAACCCTCATCAACGTCATCAAGTGTTAATCAATCATCGATATTCGTCAATAACACGTTTATCAACATCATTCAATAGTTGACAACAAAAATTTGTTTTTGGTTCTTTTAATCCAACCTTCAATTCTGTTTGAATACGATCATATCTTCAACATCTACGATTAATTATACTCCCAGCGTTATTAGATCAACATCATCGACAATCAACAAAAAATCCACTTCGTATCATTCATTCAACATCAATTATCAAACAAAACTTCAAAATTAAGGTTAGAAAAAGATCAAAATGTTTTTTTTTTGAAACATTTCATATAATTCTCTATCGGTCTATTATTTTGTAAGATTTAAATAGTCAAAGTATCATGTTTTTAATAGTTTTAAAAAAGTTAACTTGTATGCTCTCCAACTATTTGATGAAATGCATAAACTAAATTACCACGTTATATTCATATATGAATATGTTTCTCACCTAAATCAGTATATGATTATTAAAACACAAAACAAATATGCAAATTTGTATGTTATTCATATGTGAATAACATATAAAAATTATATATTTGTGAAAACACCTTGTAATATTCATATGTGAATATACTGTGCAATATTCATAAGTGAATATATCATCTAATATTCACAAGTGAATATACTATGTAATATTCACAAGTGAATATACCATGTAATATTCACATGTGATATACCATGTAATACTATATAATATTCACATATGAAAATATCATATAATACTTATAAGTGAATATACCATGTAATATTCACAAGCGAATGCATCGTCTAATATTTAAATATGAATATACTATGTTTATTATATGCTATATTCATACATGAATGATACTTAAATTGTAAAAAAAAATTAATTATACTTTTTATTCATAAGTGAATGACGAATGTACTGTAATAAAAATCTGATGCATTTTTATTTACTTATGAATAATGATAGCTGAAACTAAAAAAAAATTATTTTATTTTAAAACTATATCAATACAGATGTCTATTTATAAAGAATAAAAAAATTATGAATTTTGATATATTTAAAATCAATTTTCGATAAAATTAACTCCTTAAAAATAAAAATAAAACGAAGAAAAACTATGTTTTTTTATATATTAAGGTAATGATTAGCATAGTTTAAGGAAACATGTTTTGTTGGAAAACACACATGTATTTCTTTCCCATTTCCGCTACACTTTCAACCAGTGGTGCCATACCAACATCTACATCAGATCCGAATAACCAAAAAAATTCGCAGTTTCGATTTATCCGAGATCTCTCTGGTTTCGCACTGACCCACTAAATAACTAGAATACAAAATTCCTAGCCGAATACTGTTGAGAGAAAAAATTTTGAGACACACTTGAACAAACGTTAGAACAAGTATATTGCGGAATAGTTAATCTCGAAGGATCTAAAAGCTCAACAATAATATTTAGAGTTAGATGGTTAGAGAGTTAGTTGCGGAAAAGTAAAGAAATGGAAATGACAATAATTGTTATATCAAGTATACACTTAAGCTGATTTATAACGAGGAATGCATTCAAGCCAAGTTAATAAGTGAGATCAAACTTAGTGATTAAGTCTCAAAAGACTTGCTCCGAAGAGAGATTGTAATCAATTATGAGAGTAAGAAGAGTGAGTAAGAGAGATAGAAAAGATAACTTCAGAGATTGCAATTCAGAATTAGATGCGTAAAAAATAATACAAGAGAATGAGCTCTATTTATAGAGACTCACGAAGTAAACTAGATTATATCTCTAAGTGTAGCCATGCAAGGCATACTGGACAATAGAGAGTATTAATAAAAGACAAGTAAAGTAATCTAGTAAAGAGACTGCGGTTGCGGTTGCTGATGAAAAAGCTTGACTGCGGGGGCTTGACGACTACGGTAGCTGAAGTTCAAGAGGGTCACTTTTTATGATTCAACAATTTCCCCCTAAGTGACCTCTTTAACTTTAGATCAACTATCAAGTTTAAGAAACTTGATCAGGATCCACCAAAACTTCCTGATGGTTTCCAACCAGATGATTCTTCTTAAGATCTCGAACTTGACTTCTGCAGTAGTGTGCTTTGATTTTTCAAGTGCGTTTCGGCATATATCAAGTTGCTTCTTGGTGAGGCGATGCATGGCAGTCATAGGAATGAAGTATTTGACATTGTTGATCTTCCTTTTGAAAATGACTCCAAGTTCAGGGAAGTTGGTTTCACCTAAGGATCTTTCTTCATAGCCTTCGGTAGGCATTGGTGCGGGTTTAAGTGGTGGCAGATCAAATTTCTTGGCAATGGTGGGGTAGATGTCTGTGTCAATTTTAGCAAAATCACAGACTGTTTCCGTCAAGAAAGTATTAGCCCTTTCAAGTGCAGTCTTCATCTTCGGGTGCTTCTCCGACTTGTGTTGGAACACCTTTGCAATGAGAAAGACTTCTTCCAGGTTCATACTGGGGAAGTCAGCCTGGGTGCGGACATCATCATGTTCCCTT